TTACACTGTCTGACCAATCAGAAACGTCGTACCGTCCGTAGTGAAAATACAGTGATCGATCATTTCGGACCGGAGGCTCACCCAACTGCGGCTCTTTTCTTTTGGCTATTCTCACCAAACATGACTTTTTTGACCGGATTTTTTTCGAATTTAACCTTCCTGACAGTAACATAATCATATGATGATGATGATAATACTAGGCAGTGGTTGATTTAGGCACAGATTACGAAGTACGAATCATGAATCATGGACCCCCACGGAAACACTGAATCGCACTATCACTTACACGCAGTTATCTCACGTAACAGAGACGCAACAAGAATCACCATTCACTCACTCACTCTTCATTGACCAAGTTCCTCCTCCGTGTCACATCTCTAACTCTTGGTAATCCGAAGGAAAGGGCTGCGATCTGGTGCTTTGACTCTGAAGAAACCTCAGACGCGTATTATCATTCTGATGAACCATCAGAAGTGTTTTCCTTTTACAGAGCCACAGTCACTGACGTTCACGTGAACGAAATAACACAATTGTCGTAGCGCCGTGGCGCTCCAAATCGAATTGGTGTGAAAAACTCGACTGCTTCTGGCTCCACCGCAAGTTCTTTGACCTGTCATGTCCTGATAATGACGATTAGTCGGATAATAATAATGATACGTGAGTCAGCGCTCCGAGATAAAGCCAAACAAGCGCCTAAGCGTTTCAGTTTTCGGACATTGGACCATGGACCAACGGTATCGATCGCTCAATAGCCATACGGTTCAAACAGAAGCCGTGTGACTCAAAGAACAATAAAGAATTGGTTGATACCTGTTTCATCAAAGATATTTACATTTACACATTATTTGATCTCATTGATTCCTGTCAATAAAGGGAACCACTACTGATTTGGTCTCTTTTCTCGCTTCCTGGTGACGAGAGATTCCAGCGTACAATTGCTAGTGCGATTCTGTGCTTGATTCGTGATATGTGATCCGAACCTGCTTCGATTACTGCAGGATGATAACTCGAATGATGATGAGGATGAGGATGATGACGGGAGTGATGATGATTGTTTATGATGCAATCAGAAACTACGACCGATAGAAATTCGAAATACGGCTATAAGCTTCTGATATTACTGTTAGGCTAATAGTTCGAATCTAAAAACGAGCGGTGGGGCGAATATAATGATAGTATAACAATAAAGGCTGATACTATATGTCTAGTCTAAACGCACGTTATGGGGCCGGAAGAAGGGCTGTAGGCGGCAGTAGTAAAATTGAGCGTGGTTCCATAAACTATCACAGGAACAGTATATAAAACAGAAAATAACGGCTAAATTGACAAAACGGCGGTTAAGTGTATAAAGTTTAACCGGCACCTCTAGGTCAGAATATGAAGAAACAATAACAGAACGGTGGCAGATAAGGAAAACAGATATAGAAAATTGGAGGACCGACTGAAATGAGGCGTAGAGCATAAATGGGTAGAATTTAAAGTCTCAATGATAAATGGTTTGTAGTAGTTAGAGACCGATAGTGTAACGTGCTCCAGAGCTATTATCATCATCTTTGGTTCGCCAATACCGCATACATGATTTCACATGGTTGCAGGCAGTTTTGCTTGTGGCATTCACTCATGCGTCCTTCTTCATCGTTTGCAACAAAGTGGTCAGGAAATCAAGCAGGATATGTTATATCAATGGTTTCTACGAATGAGCCCGTTTTTTAATACCTTCCAAGTAATATACTTTATTTTGGCAAAGAAAAATAGCCTTGCTTTTTGCAAAGCCGTTTAGGAGAAAGAACGAAAATGCTTTCGTGTTTAGACTGCTATCGAACCTGATCAAAGTGAACTCAAACAGATGGGTTTTTATCTTTAGAAAATTTAGTGATAAGAAAAAAATTGATCAAAAATGATGAACAGATTTCTTTGTGAACACAGGAGAATAGTAATCCGTGCAAAACCGTGAACTTTGGAGATTTGAATAAAATATTTATTTACACCCTTAAGTAAGTGGTGTCTAACTCATTACCATACTTCAAACAAGTGTGCCTTTCAAGGATTTTTTTCTGCTGAGATAATTACCCTCTCTGATTTCACAAAAACTATATCAACCCTAGCTATGGTGCACCGTATTTTCTCTCTGAAATTTTGAGTTGGCGCTGTCTGTTAAATGTTGGATGACGTGCTAAATAGTCGCTCACACTTATTCTCCGTTTTTCAATGTTGGCGGCCCATAACAATCGTCCATATCCCACCACATTCACGATTGAAAATCAAGCTGTCAAATTTCATCCCATTTTTTAGTCTTCTTCCATACATAAATAGACGAAGTGGGCAACTATTCAATCTCTCTACCGTTAGCTTCTTCATGAATGGTTGAGATATGCTACTGAAGCGATAGCTTCTTAAGTTCATCTTGCAGGAAAATCTCTCTGTAATTCTTCTCTATTCGTGTTACTCCTTCCTCCAGCACATATCCACGCATTTGGTTGTGTCCTAGTATTCACCTCATTCAACTCTTCCGAAAATTTACAATTTTTTGGTTGTCCTCAAGATCTGCTGATTTAGTGTAAAGATTATTTCTCTGAATAAACTCACTGCATGAGATTCAATGGAAACATGGTCGCATATCTAGTAAGCAATTGCGGTGTTCTTTAGGATCAAGTTTTCTCAATTTGTCTCGGCGGCAGCACTTCCCCTCTTTTATTTGTCTTTTAAATATTCAGGTGACATTGACTCTGATCGGTCCGAATTCACGCACTTCCCGGATACTCCCTTTCTCACACATTTTTATCACTTTTCCAATGCTTCTGATTTCTTTGACAGCTTTTTAAAATGTTTGGAAAGTATTTTTCACTCATACACACACGCACACCTCTCCCGAGCCTATCTGACTATCCCATTAACAAATTGTCTTCATTCGCTTGCCACAGTTAAAGTATAAGTATTTCGATATGACTTCGATAAATCACTTTTTATTGGCTGAACACATCATATCAAGTGTGCATAGCCTTATGTTTCATTCCATAGGTTGAAGCAATTTCTGAACCAGCTGATTTAAAATTATTTTGTGCTGTTCCCTCCCAGTAATTCAACACCTGTTTAAAGATATTTCAAGCTGATTCCTTTTTGTTTAGTCATCATTAGACACGATTTATACAGTTCCATTTGATGTACTTTTGACTGGTCATTGGGTTTTTTAAAATCTCCATAGTGCATCTTACGGATGAAGATCCTTTCGGACCCAGTTTATCATTTGCGTTGATAATATTTATCGTCATTACTTCATAGATCAAATTACCATCTTCGTCCTTCTCAATATTTGCCCGAAACTCGACTATTTAACTTCGCACTTTTAACGGATGCGGTAAGATAATTTGCGATGAGACTCGCTTGGTTTCAGAAACTCCAATTCTATTAGAACGCTGTTACCATCCATTTCTATCTAACTGTGATATTTTTCCTCCCGGCAGAAAAGCTGAGCACACACGCCAACAAAAACAGTTCATTTAAAGCAATGTACAGGTATCGTTATTTTTTCCGTAAAATTCCTGTTTTTAAACTGAGGCAATTAAAGTCCTTGTCACAACCCCCATGGAAAATCTGCCGGGAATGTTGACCAGTAACCTACCTCCGAATGTCATGGCTTTTAGTTCTCTTGAGTGAATAGGAGCTCTTGAAAGCAGAGTGAGACAATATTTATCTTCGCAGTTCTTAAGAGTTGGGCCTGTTGGATGCGACGCGAAGAGGCCCGGAGATGGAGTGGGCCGCCGTGATCGAGCGTTTTGACACCCCGACCGACCGCCAGAAGGCATTACGGAGCTTCCAGAGGGCACAGCTCGTAAATGGCGCAGACCCCTGTCGCATGCCGTGGCTTTGCGCACCCTGTCGGATCTAGAGCTGCCAACTTTGAAAGAC